ACCAGGGATGAGAAGTGCATTCGTAGATGGCTACTCACCAATTAAATCTTTTGTGGAGAACCCAATCCAATTTGGATTCAAGAACGCAGGAGGTTGTTGCCCTAATTGCCTCTCACATAAAAATACATTGAGCGGTCTGTGCAAGAATCCAAGTGATTATGTCTTTTGGGATATGATACATCCCACAGAGCACACATACACTCTCATTGCCAAGGAATTCATAGAGCAGATTAAAAGAGTCAATTAACAAAACTAAAATGTTTTTTCTTCTGTTTAAAAATTACAGGTCAAGGACCTAAATATGGTTTCTTATAAATGAATATTTTTCTTTCAGTTTATCTAAAGTTTTGTGCAATTGTGGTCGTCTCCTTCTGCCCCCAGAGTTTGATCTCCACTTCCACAGAAAGAAACTGATGATCGATTGGATGCTGCATCTTGTTGAATGCGTGGGACTCCAAGGTACTGCAGATGCTTGACTTGGATGACAATCCAACGACTGAGTCCATTCGGGATTCGGAAGATTCAAAGATCATCGAGGAAGAATGCTTCAGGGACATGTGGAAGCTCAAGGTGGAGCCTTTTCCGGTGTGAGGGAAGACAGGCTGCTTTGGTGCTTGGGAACCTGGTTTCCTCCTCTACATTCTGGCGCTGCTGCTCAAGGAAAAGCAAAAGGTACTGCTGCTGACCACAGGGGGATCTCTCTATTACTTCCTGCCGGATGGTAATGGAAGCTGCAGAGTCTTGCAAGACTATCAAGACGTATATGGAAGTGGAACTTGAGGTAGATCCGGATATATGTTTCTTGGCGGACGTGGAGCTGAAAAACGTCCCTCTTTTCATCAGCAACGCACTCTTGGTAAGCAGCCCAACGAGAGAAAACTACAAGGACTACCAAAAGGACACAAATTGCAGGACTTTCTATCTCCCCGTGTGGTTGAGCAATGAGCTGAGCCCTCTCCAGAAAGAAGTCCTCCCAGACAAAGATCTGGAGGCCTCAAGACACAGGTACTGGCACTAGGGAGGCAATCTGAGAGAAGTCTTCCGTCACGGGAACCTTGGAGTCTATCACCAATTGGGAGACGTGATGCTGAAGAGCTAGTATACAGGATGTTTCACACGAGTGCCTCCAATACATCAGTGTCTCTAGTACATGTCTCCGGTAGAGGCGGCTGATCTTCACAAAACTGCATGGGCATCCGTTGCTCCAAGGTTTTGTTATGTGCCAGAGACATGGCTTTGAAGATCTGAAGACTGGTGAGAGAGCATTTCAGGCAGTCGCCATAGGACCTGTCATCGGAAGATCATGTGAAGAAAGGTTGTGTCCGGCATTTGATCCACTTTCAGGTCGTCCAGATACCATGCCTTGCTCAACCTAGTGGGGTCCGGATACGATGCGCTAGAGAATCCCATTGACACTGGATGTACACAGAATGAAAGGTGGTGGCAGTTTTACAGGTTTTCCATGATGCAGAAGTTTGGAGCTGACAGTGTTGAGTTCTACATGGTCACTCAGTATTGGCTGGGATGCGGAGGTCCCAGTCGGATCATAGATAGCGTTGGTCGACACACAGATATTCTTTTCTAAAATAGTCTTTCCGAGAAAAGGTTTACGGTGTATTATACTTTCTCCAAAAGTGTGTGTGATTTTTTCGTGGAACTTCGGTTTTATCTCTTTGTGCGTGTGCGTGTGCGTTTAAACTTTTTTGGACACGGGAAAGTGAGCTTGATAAATTACTTGCAGGTGATCGTCATAGGAGCTCGTGCTTTTTCTGGATTTCGTCCCAACTGCTAGAATTCTTCGTTCCTCCACCAGTTTATCTAGAGGCGGAGGGGATTCCTCCACCAGGGCCGAGCTTCAAGGTTGGAGAATCATTTGTCTACTTTTGGAATCTCACGAGTTTTCTAGCAGGATGTGATGACAATGGCCAAACAACTTCAAGAATGGATCGCTGCTAGTATTGATATCAAGTTTATGGATGACAAGCTGACCAAAAGCAGTGCCTTGGGGTGGTCCAAGAACATTGTTGGAGCTTCATATTGCTAAGAGGAGGTGTGTGTTCTATGCAAGCTAGTGATTAGGATCATAGTGGTAATATATTAATTATAGTATTATAGCATAATTGAATTTGGTTCATTAATTCTTGTATATAAGTAAGGGTGTAAACCCTAATTAATATATTTATTCTTATATCTCGAGCACTTATATTAATGGAGATAAGGGGTATTGCAATTTGTTCTTGAAGGGTAAAGTTTTTGGCAGTGCTTTATTCTAATATTTGGGATTGTGATTTTTGTTCTTATTTCTTCATTTTCTTTTATATCTAGATTTATATTAACTTTTTCAAGATCTAGAATTTTAGTTATCATTGTGTTTAGATTTACTCTTTCTTTTAATCTTTATTGCATTCTCTTCTTCTACCATATCATGTTGTCATCAATTAAGGAGTATATCACTTGAGGCTACTAATGTTGTTTTGTTAAATTGAACTTTTAGTGGTATAGGGTGTGATCATATTGGTGTTGCACCCATCTTTGGTGTGTTGTTATCTCCAACTTTTATGAGACATGATTATACAGTTTATCCTATTCTTGGTGTTCTACCATTTTTCGTTAATATGGAGTGTGATTGTGACATTGATTAGCAAATTATGGATGAGGCAATCCAGTTTTTAGAGAATGTTTGAGGATTGAGTTTATGATAAGACGATATATATGAACTCAAGTTTTATAACTAAAAAGGGTCATAAAAGAAAAAAACAGATTAGTCTGCAAGTTCAAATTTAATTGAACTATTGGAACATTGAAGGAATGCATGCTAGGGATTATCAAGGATTTTCCAGCAGCCATAGTGGTGCAGCAATCCAAGGCTCCAGTTCTGGCAGCACCAAGTATATGTCACATTGCTATAGTAATTTTAGTTCTTTTTGTTTGTGCAAAAAGGCAAATGTTTGTCCATTGCAAAAAAAAGTGGAAATGAAAAACAAAGCATCAATGCCGACTAGTGCATTGCCTCTTTGAGTCAAGACACGAAGAAACAAAAATGCTGATTCACCTGGTTAGTGAAAAGAAAGATTTTTTATTTTTTTGAAAAGCCCATTGTATAAAATTGAAGTCAAGAAAACCATCATCGTTACTCCAATGTCTCATTATGTGCTAGAGACATGGCTTTGAAGATCTGAAGATTGGAGCTAGTATGTTTATATTGTTGTTTAAATACCTCCGCATGTTTATGCTTTTGTGTTTGTGTGTTTTTTTTCTTTCCAGGAGAAAGATTCATGCTTTATTGGATTGGGCACTAGGAATTCTCAAGTGTAGCTTGACAGCTGTACTTGCTGGGGTGTAGGCTTGAGATTAGAGACCATGTCGTCCTCTTTTTGGGTGTATGTGTGTGCAAGTCATAGAGCCAGCAGCACAAGTGGATGATGTTGTGGAGGAAGGTGAAGAGGGAGCATCATGTTGTCATGGAGATTGTAGAAGAAGTAGTGATGGATCTTGAGAATGTAGAGGAAGCAACTTTACAAGTGTAAAATGCCACACTTGATGAAGTTTATGTCGATATAGATGGTGCAATGATCATTTATAATATATATAAGTTTTGTATTGAATACTACTATATATTCTTTGCTTCTTTTTGGATTTTTTTTCTTTGAAGGGCTGCTGCCGCACAGCCTGCAACATAATTTTACATTGCATGGCATGAATTGGTGGACAAATGTGAGCTGGTGGTTGAACATGAGGTCATCCATGAACACAAGGTGGCAGAAGACCCTCCTCATAATATTATAAAGGAAGACCCTTCACATAGGTGTGAGGTGATGGGGAGGAGGCCTTTGAGCCTCCTTATGAAGTGGACAGCCCAAGCTCACAAGTGTGTATTTCATATGACAAGGCTATATTGGATGTTTAAAGCAAAGTAGAGGACGAGGCTTTAGTTGAGGTTCCCCCAGCCAATGAGCCAATGGATCCACGTGATGAGGAGGATGTTCCAACTGGTGAGGTGAATGCTCTTTGCTGCATAGTGGTTACAAGCGAGGAGGTGGAGCTGCCACATGACAATATCCACAAGATGGAGGCTCCACGCGAGCCTCCTTACAAGCATAAGGATTTATGAAAACTTGTTTATGAGCAAGGAAAAAAGGACTTAGACAAAACAAAGATACCTACATATATGGTTTGCTTTGTTTAGGGATTTTGCTGATATAGATCTCAATGGAAGGCTTGGAGATCAAAACCTCAAAGTGCAAATCATCACCACTGCATTCTACAAATCAAGGTGGTGAATGCAAGCTTAAGCAATCTTTAATAACCCACAAAGTGAGAATGTGTGCATATGGCAGTAGTAAAATGTAAATTCTTCTCTCATATTTTGAGAAGAACCTTGGGAATAAGTTTTTTTTTTTTTGTCTACATCCACGTGATAAAAGATGTGGCTTCTTCTCTTGGGCTGATATTCTAAAGTTTAGATGCCAAATCTCTTTCCCAGGTTGAAGATGGCCCTTGTGACCAGAGCTTTGGCATTTCCACAATGTGTAGTCATGCTCGCCAAGCAAAAGGCTGCCAAGCTCGAAGACTTCTCACCACTGGTGATTCTGGAGGACGAAGGTGACACTGAAAGCAAGTGAAAGAGAAGTAGGCTATTGAGGTATATGCTCTCTATGTCCTAGGTGGCAGTAGTGCCACTTCATTAATCCAGGTGTAAGCTAGAGGCAGTGTCTCTCAATCATGTATATATAGATATTGGACTATCCAAGAGTCATCTTTGTCCATCACAGCTTCCGCATATCTCTTCACAGCAGCAGGGACAAAGGCTGGAAATTCCTCAAAGGGTTTGCTGACTATTCGGCTTTGAGCTCCTGCACCTTCTTCAAGGTGTGTTCGTGGCTCATCTGACAAGTCTCAAGGCTGAAAATCTGGGATATGGCTTAAAGAGTCAAAGCTTCTGATTTCTTAAATACGAATCTTAACTCTTACATTAAGTTAACGAAGAATACAAAAAGAGGGGCTTCAATGATCGAGGGGCAGAAAGTAGCAATGCTTTGGGCAGTCGCACTTTTCCTCATCACAGCTTTCATTCTCAAGCAATGGCTCTCCAGCAAATCTCTCAATCTTCCGCCAGGCCCAAGAGGATTGCCACTCATCGGCCACTTCCATCTCCTGGGCAGGCTCCCACACATCTCACTCCAGCAGCTCTCCAAAAAATTTGGCCCGCTCTTCCACTTACGCCTGGGATCCGTCCCTGTGTTCGTGGTCGCCAGTCCAGCAATGGCCAAGGAGTTTCTCAAGAACAACGACACGGAATTCGCGTATAGGCCTCGAAACAATGTGGCCTCCATTGTCATGAATTGCAGGAGCATGTCTTTCTCGCCGTATGGAGACTACTGGAAGAAGCTGAGGAAGCTCTGCGCCACGGAGCTCTTCACGGCTAAGAGGGTGAGCATGAACACGCACATCATCCGGGACGAGCTGTGGGAGGTCAGTCGCGAGTTCTTGAGAGCTTCCAAGGCTGGCCACGTTGTGGGAGTGAGATCACATTTGAGGGCGCTCAGCTTCAACGTTATGACTCGCATCCTGATGAAGAAGATTTACTTTGGATCCAAGGCCTCTAGCGATCCCGCCATTGCGAAGGAGGCCTCCAATTTCATAGCGATGATTGATGAGAACCTCAAGGTGGCAGCAGCATTCTCGATCACTGACTATTTCCCCTACTTGAGCTGGCTCGACTTGGTCGCCCGCCGTGCTAAGATGGCCGGGGATAAGATGAATGGCTTCTTGCAAAAGGTTTTGGAAGAGCAACGCCAGGGCGAGGTTCCCGATTTCGTGGAGATCACAAGGAATCACATTGGAAACGATGTGGTCAATCTCAGAGCTCTGCTCATGGTAAGTTTGGTTTTCTCCGTCCGTGGAACTTGCTTGATTCTTTTGTGATCTTGATAGGATCTATTGCTTGGTGGATCTGAAACATCATCCACAGTGACCGAATGGGCTCTAGCGGAACTTCTTCATCATCCAGATTGGATGGTCAAAGCCCAGCAAGAGATCGAGAGCGTTGCTGGACACACACGCATGGTCGAAGAGGGAGACATATCCAAGCTCGAGGTTTTGAATGCCATCATCAAAGAAACGTTTCGTCTCCACCCTCCCGTTGCTTTGCTCGTACCACACGCATCCATTGAGGCCCAGAAAGTTGCCGGCTATGACATCCCCAAGAACGCAACGCTGCTTGTGAACGTCTATGCAATTGGAAGAGACCCTCAAGTCTGGAGTGATCCTCTGGAGTTCCAACCTCAGAGATTCATTGGCAGCAACATCGGTGTTAACGGCCAAGACTTTGAGCTACTTCCATTCGGATCTGGAAAGCGGTCTTGCCCAGGGCTTTCTCTGGGTCTTAGGAACGTCCAGCTTGTTCTTTCCAATCTTCTTCATGGATTCGAGTGGGAGTTTCCTGGCAGTCCGAAAGATCAACCCATGGGTGAAGCTATGGGTATCGTAAACTTCATGGCACACACTCTCAAAGCCAGGATCACTCCCAGGCTCCACGAAAGTGCATACATCACTCTCCAGTCGACTGAATAGAAAATATTTCGTTATACATTAATGCGATGATGTTAGCAATTTGATCATGTAATAGTGAATGTCTTTAAAACATGGCACCTGTCTTTTGGTATATTCTACTCAATAGAGAGTATATTCATTATGGCGGGAAATTTCTTAACGTAAGGGCGATGCCGGCGGTGGATTTGCTGCGGAATCCACTGGGCGCCGTGCGAGGCCTCTTCTCCATTGCAGCCATGGTCGCTTCTCCTGCTCCAGCCGCAACTTTGGAGCTCTCGGGAGGCGACTGGGGCATCAAGGGAGTCTTCGACAAGTTCTTGTATGAAGAAGGCGCCATTGCTCAGGTTTGCTTTCTTCTTTTTACTTCTTAACCGGGCTGGAATTGAATGCCACTGCTAGGTTCCTCACATTGACGATTTGGCGCACGATTCTATTCCTTCTGGCTCGCTGGTTCGCTTCCGGGGAATGGTACATTTTTCCGTTGTGTTCTCTTTAAAAAAAATTGTTTGCAAACAAGTTTTTATCTATGTTTCTTACAGATCCAAGATATGTTCGATGTGGAATACTATGTTGGCGCTTACAAGGTATTGCGCTTTCTCTTGAGTTTTTTGTTTTTCAAGGTCCTCTATCGTGATTTATGTTACAGGATTGCAATACTTGGCAAACAAACAAGTACACCGACAGCCCAGTTCCGCAAGATACCGAGCAGCAAATCTGGGATCGACGGCTGTTTTATTGCGTTCCAGTAAGTTTTCACTTTCTCAGGGTTTACAACTTTTCTTCGAGTGTTTGTAGATTCCTGGTGAAAATCAATGGATGAAAAATACATGGCATTCAAATGCTGTACAACCGGATGCAACTAGTCAGAGCTTGAAGCGCAAACGGGAGGATATTCCAGCGACTGTGGAGGTGAAAGCTTTTTATGTGTTTAAATGGATCTTCTTATCATGTTTTTCTTTTTGCAGAGCATGGACTGTGACTCTCCAACGAAAGAGCACAACTCGTGCCTCGTCAAGGTCGAGAATTCCGCTTTTTGTTTCTGAGACTTAACCACTGCCTTTTTTCTGCCAGATTTACGATGGAAACGATGCGGACTTGAAGTTGAATGACATCGCAGAGTTTGTTGGTATCGTATGGAAAGAATTGGAACTGGTTTCTAGCTCGGCTTCTGATTCATCAGCTCTGGCTGAATCCTTGATGGAAGATGACACCTCCTTGCAGTTACCATCCAGCACGGTAAGAAGCTCACTTCCATTACCTCTCCGACTTTGATATCTCAAGGTTCCTCGACTTCACTGTATTACCATGAGAAAACTTTCAGCTTACAGTATTCCTAGTCAGCCGGGTGCTTTGGCGGATATATGCTCCGTGAGGGAATCTCTTGTTTGTAAATTACAATCTGTTCTCGGTGAGGACAGGCTCGCCGCGGAATATTTACTCTTGCATCTTCTGTCAAAGGTATGCACAATTCTCGTCGTTTTTTTCTGGATGTTATTCTGACTGTGATGCTCAGGTTTATAGCCGTGTAGAGCCCTTGGCTGTTGGGAAGTTTTCTCTCAACTTTAGCGGGTGTCAAGCTGGTGCCGATGGTTCCGTATCACTCGTTGCCTCTGCAGTTGGGCACGCGATATCAGTACTTCTTCCTGTTTACAGTGCCGCTGTCACTCGATCCTGTCTGATCGCTCCACGAAAAGATTATGCCACCAATCGGTACGCTTCTTTCGTTTTCTCTTTTCATTCCGGTCTCACTTGCTATAGTTTCATGTATAGATTGGTTACCGGTGGTTTACAACTAGCAAGCGGCACCCATCTTACGTTAGACGAGACTGCTTTGAACACAGGAAGGCTGAACGAAACCCGTGTCAGGAATTTGCAGAGCTTGAAGAGCGTCATGGAGTCTCAGAAAGTAAGTCTTGTCTTGCTCATCTCTTACGTGGTATGCTGATGTTTTCGATTGTTCAAAAAGTCGACTACGATTTCCAGTATTATCAGATGGAAATGCCGACAGATTTGCCCGTGTTGGTGGTTTCTTGCGGCAAATCGAGGATTTTACCAGCTGATGCGCTCGTACCTTTAAGGTGCAGCGCGGAAGCGGCACGTATCCATGCAGAAGCATCGGACTTGTCGAAATGGCGTATTTATTTGAGCAGTGCGCGGGAGGCCGACCACGTTATCGAGCCTTCAATGCAGAAGGTATTCTTTTCTCTAGTGTCTTTCTCCTTCCCGAGTTCTAACTGTTGGCTGCCAGATTGTGGAGGAAGATCTTGTGGCCGCACGCCAGAACGATAGAACTCTCGGATCTGAAACGTTTCACAGGTATAGCGCTCCTTACTCCGAGTCAAGACTAACAAAATCCTTGTTTCTCTTTGTGCGTAGATGGTTAACAATGGCTCGCCTGTTATCCTTGAGCTATAGCGAACGAAGCTTGACGAGGGAGAGATGGGAGATGATGAAGGAACTAGAAATGAGGTGTGCCGCGAGATTAAGAGAAACTACAACGTAACAATTCCTAAGAATGGACCTTTGTGGAGTTCAAATGATCATTGGATAAAAAAAGAAAAAAAAAAGAAGATAGAAAATCTTTATCTTTACCATTTAAACTTTAGGTTTTCGAGTTTAGTTAGTAGTAACCTTTTCCTTTTATAAACATGCCAACAAAGGTTTTTGGCGAGATGAGGATTTTAGTGTTCGTGCATGCGATCTTGGCTTGCGTGTTTGGATGGTCAATTCCTCAGCTTAGGACCATCTATATGGGAGATTCAATCTTTGATGTGGGAACTAACAAATACTTATGGGGAAACACGGTATGCCAAACCATCTGGGAGGTGCAGTGATGGATTCATCATCCCAGATCTGATAAACAAGGCCCTGGGTTTGCCCTTTTCCAGGCCATTCCTGGGTTTGAAAGTTGAGGACCAAGTTTTTCCTAGTATCAACTTTGCATCTGATGGTAGTGGATTACTCAACTCGACTCATTCGGACTGGGGTGTCGTGCCATTTAGTGAGCAGCTAAAACAAATCAGGGAATTCTCCATGAAGATCTCCAAGAAGAATCTCATTGTTGTGATCTCTTCTGGTGGAAATGATATCGCAGCAAATCTTCAAAACATTATGGATGTGGACTTGGAAGGGATGTTAATGTCATTAGAGAAACGTTTGCAACAACTTTACGAATATGGAGTGTTGGGCCGCTAGGATGCTCACCTATTGTTACTTCAGGTGGAAATTTGAAATCAATAATTTGGTAGAGCAATTCAACACACAGGCTCGGGGGATTTTTCTAAGGGCAGCAGAAAGATTACCAGGGATGAGAAGTGCATTCATAGATGGTTACTCACCAATTAAATCTTTTGTGAAGAACTGCAGGAGGTTGTTGCCCTAATTGCCTCTCACATAAAAATACATTGAGCGGTCTGTGCAAAAATTCAACTGATTATGTCTTTTGGGATATGATACATCCCACAAAGCAAACATACTCTCGTTGCTAGGGAATTCATAGAGCAGATTAAAAGAGTGTTATAAAACTAAAATGTTTTGTTATTCCTGTTTAAAAATTACAAAGCTAAGGTAATTATTATTACTTTATAATTTTTCATTTATTTTTTATATTTCTTTTGCAAATATATATTTGAGACTATTTGAATATGAGAACTTTTCCTTCAGTTTATTTAAAACTTTATGCAGCATGTTAGGAATTGTGGTCGTCTCCTTCTGCCCCCAGAGTTTAATCTTCACTTCCACGGAAAGAAACGGATGGCATCTTGTTGAACACATGGGACTCCATGGTACTGCAGATGCTTGACTTGGATGACAATCCAATGATTGAGTCCATTTGGGATTCGGAAGACTCAAAGATCATCAAGCAAGAATGCTTCAGGGATGTGTGGAAGCTCAAGGTGGAGCCTTTTCCAGTGTGAAGGAAGACAGGCTGCTTTGGTGCTTGGGAACCTGGTTTCGTCCTCTACGTTCTGGCGCTGCTGCTCAAGGAAAAGCAGAAGGTACTGCTGCTGACCAGAGGGGGATCTCTCTATTACTTCCTGCCAGATGGTAATGGAAGCTACAGAGTCTTGTAAGACTATCAGGACGTATGTGGAAGTGGAACTTGAGGCAGATCCAGATATATGTTTCTTGGCGGACGTGGAGCTGAAAAACGTCCCTCTTTTCATCAGCAAGGCACTCTTGGTAAGCAGCCCAATGAGAGAAAACTACAAGGACTACCAAAAGGACACGAAATGCAGGACTTTCTATCTCCCCATGTGGTCGAGCAACGAGCTGAGCCCTCTCCAGAAAGAAGTCCTCCCGGACAAAGATCTGGACGCCTCAAGACGCAGGTACTGGCACTAGGGAGGCAATCCGAGAGAAGTCTTTTGTCGGTGGAACCTTGGAGTCCATCACCAATTGGGTGGGAGACGTGATACTGAGGAGCTACACGAGTGCCTCCAGTACATCAGTGTCTCCAGTACGTGTCTCCGGTTACAAGACGGCCAGAGGTGGCTGATCTTCACGAAACTGCATGGGCATCAGCTGCTCCAAGGTTTTGTTATGTGCTAGAAACACAGCTTTGAAGATCTGAAGACTGGAGTGGTGAGAGAGCATTTCAGGCGGTCGACATAGGACCTGTCGTCGGAAGATCAAGAATCCTGAGGTGTTTGGGGGCAAGGGTGGCTCAGCTTGTGAAGAAAGGTTGTGTCCGGCATTTGATCCACTTTCAGGTCGTCCAGATACCGTGCCTTGCTCAACCTGGCGAAGTCGAAGAATTCCAGATACGATGCGCTAGAGAATCCCATTGACACTGGGTGTACACAGAATGAAAGGTGGTGGCAGTTTTACAGGTTTTCCATCTCGTCCAACTCAAAGTGATGCAGAAGTTTGGAGCTGACAGTGTTGAGTTCTACATGGTCACTCCAAGTCAGTATTGGCTGGGATGCGGAGGTCCCAGTCGGATCGTACATAGCGTTGGGCGACACACAGATATTCTCTTCTAAAATAGTCTTTACGAGAAAAGATTTTTTGGTGTTTTTTTAATTTCTCCAAAAGTGTACATATGTTTTGTAGAAAGTATCCTCGACGGTTTGACAAGGTTGTGATTTGTCACCCCGAGACGTCATCGTCAACGCTGGTGGTTCTCTATGCATACACTTCGATAGTTGACCGTCCAAAATGGAGTGACATGCAACTTGACGCTTCCCCTTGTCAGATGTTGAAAGGATCGGGCTGTCGCGAAACTCGATCGGGGCAATCCAGGACCGGTTGTGCACTTTGGTGCGGATTTGGCACTCGAACTCAAGAGCCGTATTAACATGTCGTCTCGACATGACACCAAGTCTTGGGAGCGTGGAACCTGGAATCACGTCCCGCATCTTCTGAGACTTGAAACTCTTCAAGCTTGAGCGACTTGAGCTGGGGATTGAGCGAGCTGAGTACCTGGGGAGTAACTGGAGCGTGGAGGGAGGCAGAGGCTCAATTGCATTGCATTCATAGAGTCTTATACTTCTCCATACCATTCAGCTTTCAACTTGATTCAGCACAATGTTTTAAAACGGCTAAAACTCATTCAGATGAACAGCGGACTCTCAATCCGCCAAAAGATTGCAAACTTTCTGTTCCTCCATTGTCTAAACCTTCTTTTCATAGGCATTTATTGGGACTTTACCCTTCATACCGGTTTAGGGCACAATTAGGGTTCCTATTTCCAAGGGAATGTTTGGGAGGAAAGGAGCACAGCTGTGCGTCGAGCTCTTGCACACGGAGGAAGATCAGCTGTCGCGGTTCAATGTGAGCTTCTAGATGGCCTAGATTTTCTCTGTTTATACTGGCATTCTTGCAGAATGATCTCTTCGAGCAGGTTTTGAACGAGACGAGCGAGCATTTCGAGCAGCTCGAGGCCAGATTGACGTAAGTGAGGCGATTTTCTGGCATTTCGCGTTTGCCTCTCGATTCCTCTATTGTCTGATCTGTGAGAATTTAGACAGGAAAATGCATGAAGAAGGATTGGACGCTCAAACCACCAAAAATGCGGACTTTTATGGAGGATTAACGCATCACACGAGCATTCTTCGTAATAAGCGATGCCTTCTAGCTTACATGTTTGTGCTTCTCTCTCCGTTTTTTTTTTTTTTTCTTGGTTTCTTTTTCGTTCTTGAGTCCTAAATTGTCTTCCATTTTATTTTTTTCAGCTACCATCGAGCTCAAACGGTTCAGAGACTACGATGGCAACTTGGTGCTGTGCTTCCAGATGATATCCAGAGCAAGCTGAGCTACTCGGAAAAGAATTATTTCAAGCAGTATTCAGATTCTCTGGGGGTTTATATGTCGAGCATCGATCTTGATCTTTCAGTGGTATGTTTTTTCATGTTTATCTGGAAACCTTTTTCTTACTATTTCATTTATCGTATGCAGGATTTGTCACCACCAAAAGATCCTTACATTCAAGTGAAAGTTTTGGAGAACGTCGGAAATGTGTACTTAGACGATCAGTCAACGTCGCTGCTTCGGAACTCGATACATTTGATTAAACGATCAGAAGCAGAACCATTGATTTCCCAGGTAAGACTCTTATGCCTTTAGATTCTTTGATCCTCAATAGATTTTTTATTCTGCAGGGTCTCTTGGAAGAATTTATTGACTAGTGTTTGCATTGATTCTGGGACGCTGAGATGCTTCCCGGCTAGTGATTCTTGTTTATATGAGACCGCTGAGGGGCAAGCACATTGCTTTCCAAAAACCAGGAATCTTTCTACGCTGTCATGGAAGTTCTTCTCGCTCTGAGTGGCAGTGTAAGTTTCTTGCCCGTCTTGACGATGCTTCTCCAGCCACTCTTGCCGATATCATAAGCGAATGTGGCCGACACAGAGCCCTTCAACAGGGAAAGCTGGTTCACGCACATATATCGCGGCAAGGATTGGACGGAGGCACATTTCTGGGCAACAGGCTCATTGAGATGTATCTCAAGTGTGGTTCTGTAGCTGATGCTCGACGAACACTCTACAGTATGCAAGAGCAGACAGTAGTAACTTGGACCGTGAACATGGCAGCTTTCTCACAGCATGGTTACTGCAAAGAAGCTATCCGGTTACTCAGAGAGATGCAGCTACGTGGTTTCCAAGTCGACAGGGTGGCCTTCGTCACAGCTCTCGGTGCGTGTACTACTTGCGGATCTCTCGCAGATGGGAAGCAAATCCACGCTAACTTGGTGGAATATGGACTGGAAAGCAACGGCAGGGTGGGCAGTGCGCTCGTAAACATGTATGGAAAATGCGGGGACTTGGACGCTGCCTCAGAAGTCTTTGGTAAGCTCGATCCTTTGCATGTAGCGGCCTGGTCTGCGTTGCTTGGAGCTTATGCTAACTCTGAAAACGACGCTGTGCAGGCTTTGGAACTCTACAAGAGAATGCAGCTGGAAGGTGTTCGTCCGGACAGCGTTACGTTTGTCACCTGTCTCAGAGCCTGCACTGTCGAGGGGGCATTGGACGATGGCAGAAAAGTGCACGCTTATATACGCGAGTCGGGGCTGGAGACCGACATTTATGCGGCAAATGCTCTCATCAACATGTATGGAAAGTGTAGAAGCCCCGAAGACGCCTTCCAGCTCTTCAGCAGGATGGAGAGTCCAAACGTGGTTTCCTGGACGTCCGTCATCGGGAACTTTGCGCAGTATGGTCATCTGGGAAGAGAGTCCGTGTTACTGTTCCGGAAGATGGAGCTCGAAGGGATTCGTCCGAACTTGATCACCATGGTGGCCGTGCTGAGAGCTTGCAACTTAACAGATGGGAGACAGGTCCATGGCTATGTGTTGGAAGCTGGAATGAGTTTGGATACCTCGCTGGGAAATGCTCTGGTGGACATGTACTGCAAGACCGGGGATGTTGACGAAGCCGATTTAGTGCTCCGTGAGATGCCCAAGCGGGACGTGATTTCCTGGAACATTATGATATCGGGGTATGCTCAGAGTGGAGACTGCAAGGAAGGACTGAGATGCCTTTGGCGAATGCAGCAAGATGGGCTTTCGCCAACCAAGGTGACTTACGCTACGTTGCTCAACGCGTGCTCGAGCGGAGAAGACTTGGGCGAAGGCAAGTCTATCCATCGCAGCGTTGTCGACATGGGACTCGACCGGGACGAGGTTGTCAAGAGTTTCCTGCTGGGGATGTATGGAAAGTGTGGCAGCCTTGAAGACGTGAAGCGAAGTTCCTGTGAAGTTCACGAGAGGAACACCATCGCCTGGAACACAATAATCGGAGCCTATGCTCGGTACAGCGATCACTTCCAGGCTTTGCGGAGCTTCCAGCAGATGCAGCTACAAGGCGTCAAGGCAGACGCGGTAACGTTCGTACTCATGCTTGGGACTTGCAGCAGTCCAGCACACTTGGCTCAGGGGATCCTGCTGCACGACTGGATCTCCCAGCTTGGATTCGAGTCCATCATCGTCCACAACTCTCTCACAGCGATGTACGCAAAGTGTGGATCCCTGGACGCCGCACGAAAGATGTTCGAGGGGATGCCGTCACGGAACAGCGTGTCGTGGAACTCACTGATATCGGCCGCGATTCAGCACGGCTGCTATGCCGACGCTCACAAATTCTTTCAGAGGATGAAGCTGGAAGGCTCGAGACCAGACGAAGTTACGTGCATCAGCATGCTCGACGCTTGCACGAAGCAAGCAAACGCCAAAGAAGGGAGCAGCATCCACCAGATGGTCGTGGAGAGCGGCTTCGACAAGAGGACCGGCGTTGCAAACGCGCTCATCTTCATGTACGCGAAGCTTGGCGACCACGAAGCAGCGAGAAACGTCTTTGACGCCATGGCCGAGAGGAACACCGTCTCCTGGAACACCATCCTCGCGGCTTACGTTGAGAAGGGCCTCAACCGGGACGCGGTGGAGATGTTTTGGAAGATGGACGTGGCTCGAGACAAAGTCACGTACGTTGCTGCTCTAGACGCGTGCTCCGGCCTCGCGGGAGGCCTCGCTCACGGCAAACTCATCCACGGCTACATGCTCGATCACGGCTTCTCCAACCGGCTCGACACGGTAGCAGCCACGGCGCTCGTCAACATGTATGGAAAGTGTGGCAGCCTCCAAGAAGCGCGGAAGATCTTCGACGAGATGCTTCACAGGGACGTGGTGACTTGGACGAGCTTGATCGTGGCCTACGCGCAGCACAGCGAGATCGAGCAGGCGCTCAAGCTGGTGAAGATCATGGAACAGGATGGAGTGAAAGTCGACGACGTTGTGTTCTTGAGCATCCTCTCGGGCTGCGACCACTCGGGCCTCCTCGAGGAGGGGTGCAAGTACTTCGTCTCCATGATCGATGACTATGGCATCAGTCCCCGGCTGGAGCACTATAACTGCATCATCGACGTGCTGGGACGAGCTGGGCATTTGGATCTCGCCGAGAAGCTCGTGGATCGTCTCCCGTCTCGGTCGGATAGCAAAGTCTGGATGACTTTGCTTGCAGCGTGCCGGATGCATGGGAATCCGGAGAGGGGGAAGCGTGCTGCTCGTCGGATCACGCTGCTGGATCCATCCATCCCGGCTGCTTACGTTGTTTTGTCCAACATCTACACACAGACTCAAGCTTCTTGATACATGGTTTTAAAAGATGGTAACATTTTTCATCGCTCTTTAGAAAAGGTCTCACGAAAAGGAAAAATAGGCTGAGGACTATAAAGGGAACAAACAATGTTAGGGTAGAACAATTCTTAGCTTTGTTTATGGATACAGAAGAGAACGATTATGTTCCCATTCGAAAGCGCAGGTTGGCCGAGCAACAACGTTTGCTACAAAGGAAGTCACAGAAGATCGAAGGCAATAAGAAGGAAGAACCCAAGTCATGCGCTCCTCTCTCTCTGCTGGAGAAAGCATCACTCCTCCAGCACGAGAAGCAACAGGAAGGAGGACCTTTGAGCCCAAGTGAAGAGCTCCAAAGGCAAGAAAAGGATATGCTAGATAGATTGAACGACGAGAAGAGAGTGCTACTGCCGGTGAGCGAGATTAGTAAGGGGATCAAGTATACCGAGCCAATGCACACGGGATGGACGCCACCTTTGCATGTTTCCGAAATGAGCGCAGTAGAGATCGAGGCGATTCGGAACAAGCTGCATATCCTGGTTGAAGGTGAGGACGTGCCACCGCCAATTCGGAGCTTCAAGGACATGGGTCTCCCGAAATCAGTCTTGAGGAAACTTAAGGAGAAGGGTGTGAAACACCCAACACCAATCCAGGTTCAGGGTCTTCCAGCGATCTTGTCCGGGAGAGACATGATCGGGGTGGCATTCACAGGCTCTGGGAAGACTCTTGCGTTTGTTTTGCCGCTGATTATGTTGGCTCTCAAGGAAGAGGAGAGGTCGAGGCTGAAAGGTGGCGAAGGTCCGGTAGGGTTGATCCTGTGCCCCTCCCGTGAGCTTGCGAAGCAGACTTTTGACGTGATCGAGGAGTTCGTGTCGATGGTGAACTCCTCTCGTTGTTGCCACTTGAGGGCAATGCTGTGTATCGGGGGAACTGGCATGAGGTCTCAGCTGGAGGCGATAAGGAGAGGAGTGCACATCGTCGTGGCGACTCCAGGGCGACTTAACGACATGCTAGAGAAGAAGAAGATGAATCTGGAGCGATGCAAGTATCTGACTCTAGACGAGGCGGACAGGCTCTGCGACTCAGGATTCGAGGACGACATCCGAAAGGTGATGGATCACCTCAAGTTTCAGCGCCAGACGCTGCTCTTCTCGGCAACCATGCCCCGGAAGATCCAGGAGTTTGCGAGGGGTGCTCTTGTCAAGCCCGTGGTGGTGAACGTTGCCAGGGCCGGAGCTGCATCTCTGGATGTTGTCCAACAAGTGGAGTTCGTGAAACAGGAGGCCGAGATGGTCTATCTCCTCGAGTGCTTGCAGCAGACGCCACCGCCTGTGCTCATCTTCTGCGAGAGCAAAGGCGAGGTTGATAGCATCTACGAGTACCTGGTGCTCAAAGGCGTGGAAGTTGTGTCGATTCACGGTGGCAAGGATCAGGAGGAGAGGCAAGACGCAATTACTAAGTTCAAGCAAGGACGCAAAGATGTCTTGGTTGCAACTGATGTTGCTTCCAAGGGACTCGACTTCCCAAGCATCCAGCATGTCATCAACTATGACATGCCTAGCGAGATTGAGAACTATGTTCACCGGATCGGGAGGACTGGGAGGTGTGGAAAGACAGGTATCGCCACCACCTTTATCAACAGCAGGCAGAGCGAGAGCACGCTCTTGGATCTGAAGTATTTGCTGCGGGAAGCGAAACAGAAAGTTCCTGTGTTCTTGGAATCGCTCGAGGACCCCAGCACATCCATGGTAGAGGTTGGTGGTGTTAGAGGATGTGTTTACTGTGGGGGACTTGGCCATCGCATGGGAGACTGCCCAAAGCTTGATCAGCAAAAGAGCAGGGACATAGCTAGAAGAAGGCACACCAATTATGATGATTCATCTTTATAGATGATAATTGTTGCTAATTGTATTTATAAGTAAAAAAAATATAACAAGAAAATTATATAAAAAGAAAATTAAAAACTCAACAGTGTTCCCATTTAAAATTACATAAATTGTCTGATCTGTGACAACGAGAACCAACAATACCTGTTACAAACTGTTCTTTCTAAAGTCTTCTTCTATCTTCAAATCTTTGACTCTCCTCCATTGTATTGGCATTATAATAGTTTAAGACACAAGGCATAAAGTGTTTCATCTCAGTCATATATTTGAGAGGACAGTCAAAAACCAGGAAATAACCAGCTGATTTTAGATTCAAAGCTGCTGATTTGAGGCAAGATGAGAAATAAACTTCTTGTTAGCATTATCGAGTTCTCCCAGAAATAATACAACTTAAAATGTTTAGAAAACGTTCTATGGAATTTCTTAAAGGCAACTTTCTTTGTTTCCTGTTCTAGGATCAGAAAGATGAACACTTTGAAGTATATAGCCTAGAAGCTCACGATCGTTCAACCAAGGCAAAACAATCGTTAGAATCCTAGAGCGACTACATTTGTCTCACCTTCTCGCCCCAGTAGCGACTTGTTTGATCCAAGACAGAGACCTCGCAAGGGTGAATCGCCATGACCAAGCACGATATCGTGGCTTGAAACATCCGGTGTTGGAGAGGGCGAAGATGGAAGAAGAACAATTGGTCATGACATGGAGCCACGCTCTCAAAAACCTGCCCTACGTCGGAGTAAATAAGTATCTCTTTTAAAAACTATTTAGTGTAACGTAAGATTTTGCCCTAAGTCAGCTTAGAATATACCACTTGCCACGATGGCAGACACGTAGATATCTTTACTCTGCGTGTAGTGCCACGTGTGATCTCTCTGGCTCTGGGGCCTAGGTTTGACCAAAGAGAGGCGAGAGGGAGAGAGCTACTGTTCTTCTTCGTTGCTCTTTCGATCGTGTTTCAGCTATCTACGCACGATCATCGTCAACAGGGCGCACTGCGCGGCCCGAATATCCAGCTTTGACATTCCAGCTACCGGCATTCTTGCGCGTCATGGATCGATCGCTTCCTCTCCTTCTTCTTGATCGCTTCCTGTGATCTTCCAGCGGCAATGCCGGGGATTTCTCCTGACGAGTGATAGGCTAGGAGCATCGGTTGCGAGAGAGCGGCTCAAGCGGCTCGAGCAGGGAAAGAAAAATGGGGAAGAAGGTCTGGAGCGTCGCCAGGAGCGTTCTTGGATTGCGCATGTGTTCTTGGACATTCCCGGCCGATTCCGAGGGCTTTCCATCCGACGAAGAATGGGATTTCCAAGGCCGGCCGGCAACGCCGGCACGATCATCCATCAAGGTATGCTTCTTAGACCTCTAGATCCAAAGCTCTCCTCTGGATTAGAAGCATTCCTCCTTTTCGATCGAGAAGATATATTTATCATAGTTTTCTTCTTTCTAGTCGAGTCTAGCTGTGGGTAGCGTTCTTACTTGTCTCTCTCTCTTCTCTTTTTTCGCGATCTTTGATCGTTCTTTGTGTGATTCCTTGCAGAGTTCTTGCCCGATCTGCCTGGAAGCTATCAAAACCGGGGTTGGACAGGCCCTCTTCACAGCCGAGTGCTCGCACACCTTCCACTTCTCGTGCATTGCGTCCAACGTGAAGCACGGCAACATGGTGTGTCCCGTGTGTCGATCCCGGTGGAAGGAAGTTCCATGGCACGGCCCTCTTCCAGACACGAACAAGCCCAAGAGATCCTCGACCCCGCCACCGCCACTCGTCATCCCACCACCATCGTCGCTGCCAAGTTTCAATGAGCTTCTCCGCCAAGAACAACAACAACAACACGAGGAACAGGACCCCGTCATACGAATCATTGACGAGTCGATCGCAAACGCCAATGCCACTCAAGAAATCAGTCGAGCGTCGCCACCCTCGAGGCAACAGCAGCAGCAGCATCAAGCCATAGAACCTCTCGTTTACGACGATGACGAAGCTCTCGCCAACCAAGGCTCTTGCGACGATGAGTTTCCAGAAAATGTGACTTCGTCCGAGCAAAGATCCAAGCTCGAGCTCAGCGCTTACGCAGAAGTTGGCAGCGTGTCATTCTCGGAGCAGCGGAACAGTTTCAACGTCCTGGTTCACGTCAAAGCTCCGGAGCTTCTCGATTCCGGGACAGAACCAGCAGTCTTGGATCGAGCGCCGATCGATCTAGTGACAGTCCTGGACGTGAGCGGAAGCATGGCAGGGACAAAGCTCTTGCTCCTCAAGCGAGCAATGGCGTTTGTGATCCGCAACTTAAGCTCCCGGGACCGTCTCTCGGTGGTGGTGTTTTCCTCGTCAGCAAAGAGGCTCTTCCCGCTCAAGACTATGGTGGAGGAAGGCCGGCAGTTCGCGCTGCGAGCAGTGGAGACGTTGGTTTGCACCGGAGGAACGAACATTGCCGAGGGGCTGCGCAAAGGATCGAAAGTTTTGGAAGAGAGGCAGCACAAGAATCCAGTCGCGAGTATAATGCTGCTCTCCGACGGACATGACACTTACTCGCTGGGAACTCGGGGCCAGGTTTTCAACTCCTCTCCAAGCTCCAGCTTCAACCGTCACAAGCTACTGTCACGACGGTTGAGCAACAGCGGACAGATATCGCCACGCATTCCAGTCCACACTTTCGGATTCGGAGCTGATCACGACGCTGCGACCATGCACTCCATTTCTCAAGTCTCGGGAGGAACCTTCTCGTTTATCCAGGCAGAAGGTGGCGTCCAGGACGCTTTTGCTCAGTGCGTCGGGGGACTTCTAAGCGTTGTCGTCCAGGACGTTCAGCTGGTAGTCTTTGGAGGATGTGAGGCCGGAGGGTCTCGGATAACGAGCGTTCATGCTGGCAGCTACAGAAGCTCGGTCGTGGAGGATTCGTCACGAGCAACCGTGAAGCTGGGGGATCTCTATGCCGACGAGGAACGAGACGTTCTTCTGGAGATTAAGCTCCCGGCACTCAACTTCAGCCTCAAGGAACAGTTTATCCTCGAAGCTAGGTGCTCTTTCACCGATCCAGTACGTGGAGAGAAGCTTCACACTGCGTCCCGGAAGCTCTCGATCGCTCGTCCGGATTTCGTGAGCGCCAACCGGCAACATGTTAGCGTGGAAGTTGATCGACAAAGGAACCGGCTGCTGGCAGCAAAGACGATCTCCGAGGCTGGTTTTTTGGCAGATTCCGGTGACATCGAGGCAGCTCAGACGTGTCTTCGAGCAACTCAGCAGCTAATCCAAGCCTCGCTTTCGTGGCAAGGTGGTGACAAACTCTCCAAGGCGCTTGAGTCCGAGCTTGGAGAAATTCAGGAGAGGATTGGAAACAGGCAGCTCTACGAGAGAAGTGGTCGAGCGTACATTCTCTCGGCTCAAAGCTCGCATTTCTCACAGCGAGCCACGACGAGAGGATACTCATACAATCGAGACTATCAGACGCCTTCCATGACTGGAATGATTCTACGCTCGCAGCAACATCCGGGCTACAGTAGCGCACCTCTTAGGAGCTAACTATCCAATGGAGACGAAATTTATATTTTCTCCAACAGATGCACGTCCTCGGTTTGAGATTGACAAGGTACGTCTTTCTCGTATTCTTTTCCTTCTCTAATGATTAGAGAAATTTTTACAGGCCAAGCTAGTCTCTGTAGCAAAACTTTGGCTCGGCGACAGGAAAACAAAGGGAGAGGATAGAAAAAGTGTCAGCTAGAGTGTCAGGGTTCCAGGGATTTGTGATGGATCGGATCGGCTCCAGAGGGAACTTGCCTCTCGGGTTGGATGGCATTGAGCTGCTTGCTGGAAGGATCGTCCTTGAAAGTTGGAGGTGGGATAGAACGAGCTGCTGGGATAGCATTTATGGAAGAAGTTGCTGGACCAGATTGAGAAGAATCCGTTGCTACTGGAACTGAGATAGAATCCTTGGAAGAAGGAACTGGGATAGAATCCTTGGACGAAAAAGCTGCTGCTGGAACTGGGATAGGATCCTTGGAAAAAGAAGCTGCTCCTGGAACTGGGATAGAATTCTTGGAAGAAGAAGCTGCTGGTGGAACTGGGATAGAGTCCTTGGAAGAAGATGAAGTTACTGGGATGGATTGAGATCGATGCGTCAAGACATCGTGGTGAGGCTTGCCGACGGCCGAGTTCCAGCACGCAACGAAGTCCTTGAGGCGCTGGAATGGATCTTCCGGTCCAGTGGGAACTTCTCGCTCGAGGTGGTGATTGCCGGAGGGTGGCGCAGGGATCCCGATGCCGAATTCTTTGCGGCAAGCCGCCTGACTGATCGAGTTTTGGTACTGCTTTGGATCCGAGGGGCCGGAAGGAATGAGCCTCTCCGGCTGTTCCTCGCGATCGCGGAGAAGAAGTTTACGCGAAGTTCCTGGATCTGGCAACGAAAAAACCAACGAAAGTTAAGATCGATACTGGGCGATCGAGAGTGGAGGGAGCTGCTGCTTACCTCGAGATTCCAGTGCGTAGCAGCATAGCAAAGCCATGAAGAAGAAAAGGATGAGCGATTGGAGCTCTAGCGCCATGGAAGGAGAATAGTGGTATGATCTTTGGAATGGTGGGCTGAGATGCCATCGCGCTGGATTTAAATGGTGGCCAGCCGGAATTTCCGTTGCATGGAGAGCATGGGAGGGTGTTAAACGGTAACGAAACGCTCGCCACAGTGGGGAGATTGTGAAAGCAAGATGCGCCGCCTCGCCGGATTAGTTATAGCAGTTTTATAAAGGAAGGGAATGTTTAGCGCGCGCCAAGAACCCTAAAATTAAAACACTTTTGCGCGCCAAGTTTTAAATTTGTGGACTTTAGGGTTACTTGGTTTTAGGGTTCTTGGAGCTTGGAGCGCCAGGCTCCATGCTCTTGCGGCGCGCTCTTCTCAGGCGATACAGGACGATTCCCAGCTTGCGCGAGGTAGGAGGTGTGAGGAGGAAGAATGCCGTTGGGCGGCGCAATCAGGGTGCGTCAGGGCAGCAGGACCCGATCGGGGTCTACGATCAGCTCCGCGGCGATGGAATCATGGCCAGCAATGCCGTGGTTCTTGCGGCGTTGAAGGCGTGTACCAGCGCCAGGGATTTGGCCACAGGGATCAGGATCTTGGGCGAGATTCTGGAAGAGCACGGCAGCGATGGGAATGGAGAAGAGAAGAAAGGCTTGCACATCTTTGTGGCCAACACGGTGCTAGACATGTTCGCCAAGTGCGGTAGTCTGGATCGCGCTCGCGAGTTCTTCGAGAAGATGCCGAATCGCACAGTCTCGTCGTGGAACACGATGATTATGGGATTTGTCCAGGCCGATCAAGGGGAGTTGGCTCTCGAGTTCTTCGCCGAGATGCAAGAGAAAGGCTTCGTTCCAGACCCTCGGACGTTCGTCGCGGCTTTGAAAGCCTGCACGAGCCTGGCTCTCAAGGAGCAAGCCAAGCAGGTGGATGGAAATCTCGTCAAGGTGGAAAGTTTGAAGAGAGGAGCGGCTTTACACTCCGAGCTCGCCAGCCGAGGCCACGAAACCAACATCTACGTTTCAAGCACACTGGTGGACATGTACTCCAAGTGTGGCAGCATGGTCCAGACGAAGAGGGTCTTCGATCGAATGCAAAGGCACGACGTTGTGTCATGGAACGCGATCATCACCGGGTACGCACAATCTGGAGATGCCAATGAGGCTTTTAATCTCTTCTCTGCCATGCAGGAAAGAGGCTTCCAGCCCGACGCGAGAACTTATGTCGCTGCACTCAACGCATGCTCGACCTTAGCAGCGGCGGATCCGAGAACAAAGCTACGAGAGATTTGCCTGGAGAGAGGCCGAGCCATCCACGCTCAGCTCTCGAGTAGCGGATACGAGCATGACATCTTTGTCGCTAACACGCTGCTGGACATGTATGCCAAGTGTGGCAGCGTTCGTGAGGCAAGGAGAGTATTCGACTGCATGGAAAAGCGGGACTTGGTGACTTGGAACTCGATTATCATGGGATACGCAGCTTGTGGAGATGGAGAGAGTGCTCTCCGGCTCTTCACTACGATGCAAGACCAAGCAGGACTGGTGCCCGACTCAAGAACTTTTGTCGCTGCCATCAACGCTTGCACGGCTATAGCAGCCAGAGAAGAAGCCAGGGAAGTGGGAGGAAGGCATGTCAAGGCAGAGAGTTTAGAAAGAGCCCGGAGAATCCACTCGCAGGTTTCGAAGAGCAGCTGCGAACTGGATATGTTCGTGGCGAGCAGCCTCGTCGACATGTATGCGAAGTGTCGAAGCATGGAAGATGCGGGCAAGGTTTTCAACAGGATGCCTCGGCACGACTTAGTTTCCTGGACAGCAATGATCTGGGGGCATGCTGAGAGTGGAGATGGCGACTTTGCTCTCTCCTCGTTTGCTCGAATGCAAGAGGAAGGCTTTGTTCCCGACGGGAGAACTTACGTCACGGCAGTGAACGCTTGCACGAGTCTAGCGGCCAAGGAAACTGGCAAGCAGGTTGACGGAAGAATAGTAAAAGCTGAGAGTTTGAAGAAGGGACTGGAGATCCACACCCAACTTCGCAAAGCTGGCTATGAATCCGACATGATCGTCGCCAACAATCTTCTCGACATGTACGTGAAGTGCGGAAGCGTGCCCGATGCTCGGCAGCTGTTTGAGAGGATGAAGCTCCGAGACGTCGTTTCGTGGACGACGATGATTTGGGGGTGTGCTCAGAGTGGAGAGGCCGACTTGGCTCTCCAGTACTACGCTCGCATCCGAGAGGAGAAGCTGGTTCCAGTTACGCCTCCAATTTTCGTAGCAGCGGTCAAGGCCTGTGGAAGTTTGCCGGACTTGGAGGCCGGGAAGAACGTCCACGACGAGATTCGCAAGGCCGGCCTCGAGAACGATCGGCTTGTGGTGAATTCTCTCGTGGCTTTCTACGGGAGGTGTGGAAGCATGGTGGAAGCGCAGCAAGTTTTCGACTCTTCCACGGCAAGAGACTTGGTAACTTGGAGCACTCTCATGGCCGGATACAGCCACCAATGCGACGCAAAGCAGGCTTTTGAGCTGTTCGAGAGGATGCGAAGGGAAAACGTGAGGCCGGACGCGATCACTTTCGTCCACCTCCTATCACTCTGCAGCCATGCCGGCCTGGTCGACGAAGGCAAGCTCTACTTTGAGATGATGAGCCGGGAGTTCTCGATAGCTCCGCTGCTGGAACACTACACCTGCATGGTGGATCTCCTGGGTCGAGCCAATCAGCTGGACAAGGCCGTGGAGATGCTGGAGACGATGCCTTTCAAGCCGGACACGACGGTGTGGATGTCCGTGCTCGCCGCGAGCCGGAAGTGGAGCAACGTGAGAGTTGGGAGGCTTGCTTTCGACTCGGTGGTGAGCCTGGACGACAAAGACGCTGGAGCCTACTCGCTCATGGCAAGCATCTACGCGAGCGCGGGGATGTGGGAGGAGAGTGGCGAGATCCGGAGCTTGAGAAGGGCTGCTCGAGCTTGGAAGAAGCCGGGGCAAAGCTGGTGGATCGATGGAGCTGGGACAGTGCACAGGTTCTCGGCGGGAGACTCGAGCCATCCTCAGGCGGAAGAGATCTCCGCGAGGCTCAAAGCAGTGACTTTGAGGATGAAGGAGGAGGGGGGATACGTTCCAGACACGAAGAGCGTCGTGCACGACATATCCGAGGAGGAGAAAGAGTCGGCACTATGTGGACACAGCGAGAGGCTCGCCATAGCTTGCGCGCTTGTCAACTCGGTGGCCGGGACGGACATAAGGATCTCTAAGAATCTCCGGGTTTGCGAGGATTGTCACAGGGCGACGGCTGTGATCTCCAAGCTGGAGCGACGGACCATCGTGTGTAGAGACTCGAGTCGGTTTCATGTGTTTAGAGATGGAGCGTGCTCTTGTGGAGAATTTTGGTAAGTACTAAGTGTATACCGTAAAGATCCAGGCGATAAAAATATTTTTGAAACATCCATGTACATCGTCAAACAGTAGATTTTGTTGCATCACGTAGAGCAGTGTCCTCACTGAATGGATGAGTTCTCCATTAATCCTCCATAAACTTCTTTCAAACACCTCCTAAAATTCTAAAAAATATTACTTAATGGTTTAATTTAAATTGTTCACAAGTAATAACCATTATTTAAGGCATTTCATTTATTTTTGGCTTTTGGCAGTTTTGGAGGTTTGAGGAATTCTCGTTTGTGAAGCAAAAGGAATTTATATAAACTCAAAATAATATTTGAGCTTTGAATTTAGAATATATTATATTGTGAGGTCTAAGTTCCACTCACAGTATTAATTTTCTATCAAACTATAATAACAATAGCTTTTAATTTCTAAATTGTATAAACTATTTAAGGTTCATTTAACTTAATTTAATTATTAAAAAAGATTATATTTATATTTTAATTGTTCCAAATCTGAAGTAGATAAGGCCAAATCTTATAAACCCGCTATTTTTTTTATCAAATTTAAATTTAAGAGTTTGACCTTTATTTATTTTGAGAGCACTTGAATTATTAAACTTTTATTTCAACCAAGTTTACTTAACAGGCATTTATATTTTCTAGTGCTCTTTTATTTGAAATTTTTTAAATTTGTATATTTAAAATACCAATTTGAGATTGCCAAACTTATACTAAATAATTAAAAAAATCTATAAGTTTTAATCATCTTATAGATCAAAGGGATACATTGGCTTTTTTATATGAC